AAATATGGGTTTTACCATATCGAAAGTATTCAAAATGAAAAACTGTTTGATCATTTACCCGTTAGTCAATGGGGTTGGTATTCTTGTTTTCTATCTGTGAAGCTCCATGCTCGATCCCCAGTTGGGTAGATGGATTCGCACTGCTGATGTGAACCAACCAGTGCTTCCTAGCACAACAGCTTCAGCCTCATTTACGCGACGAATTCATCATGTAATCAGATCAGATCCTCCACTATTCTGTCATATTGAAATAAATAACTTTTTCCCAATACAATATAAACCAAATGCGAATTTCCCACAATATGGACAAACGAATACTGTTGTCACCTACTACTCACATTGAGTAGTGATCTATTTTAACAATCAACACCGATGGCAAATTGTTGAGTCTCAAAGAAGAACTATCGATTTCCACATGCATTACCCGTCGTGTGAACAGAAACTGCGACGGTATGTTTCTGCTCAGATTTTCTGTGCTGTGTATGTAAAATTACTGACCACCCATCTGTAATCCTTAGTAAACGAATATCCTCGACCAGCACCGCCTTTTCGAATTATAACATTGCCATCACTACAACTATTGATCTCATGCAGGTGGAGTTCTGTGATAAGTAATGCTTTATTTTCATTCTCGTCACATGACGGAAGTTTATTTGTTTCCTCAAATTATTTCTTTGAACGTATAGGTGGATGAGATAAATGTTTGTGGGTATACTCGCATGAGGTTTCACAATTAAATCAATAAACGTGAGTCCTGGATGTTTCCAAGAAAGAAGCCTTCTGTGGACATTGCTGTTCGCTGATTGGTTAGTTTCAATATTTGTACCTTCTTTTCGTAAAACTTCAATCGCGCCGATGTGTGTTATTATCGTGTGCCCCTAAGCAATTGACTGATATATAAAAAAGTATTCTAGTTGATCTGAAGAGTATACAGATGGCTGATAAAAACAAGCCGTTTGCTTAGCAATTAGATTGAAGTGAGTAAGCTATTGAAATTGAAGTCAACCTAATATTGCTCACGTTTGGTGCGGCAAACCAAAAACAGCTTTATATTTTCCCTCTGATATTCGTTGCGTCACAGTCACATGTCAACTCAGGTTGACCAAACAAGGTATCTTTATTTTTATGTCATTGCAATTACATTTTTCGATCACTTTCCTGTATCCGTTCAGTTTATGACCTATTGATCGCGTTCAATTATTCCTCAAATTGCCGACAAGTCACCTTAATTATTAATGACGTTTTTATGATATAATTCATTCCTCACATTTCACATGACTCCGATATACATCTCGCTCAATTCTATCAGAGAAAGTACTGGCTTGCAACCATTTGCTGCATACCATCCCGGTATATTTCTCCAACTGAAAAGCTAGTCTCCACTAGTAATCTTTTGCTTCTCAGTCATTGGTCGAATTTTATTGTGAGTCGGCTGAACAGATGAAAAATAGAAACTAAAAGTTCAAGCATTCTGTTGTGCCGTTGATTTATACGGCCACCTTTCGATTGATTGCACCACACTCGTGTGCTCAAGCTGTATTCTATCGTATTTGATTGATCATTATCCGGATGCCTAGCAAGCTCCTCAGGAAGTCTTTGATTCCAACAAATCATGTGTTTGAGGAGACTCATTACTCTGCTCGGATATACAAAAACAAATAGTCGCGACAGGTTGGCAGATTGCGTGTAATTGCACCATCCGGTCAACACGATTGGGCTATCGTTGGTCAGCCCCAGCGCTCGTTCACTACTTGCAAATATCTCGGATTTGACCTATTGTCTGTGTACGGAACAATTTGAAGACATTGAACGTGATACTGAAACCGGGTTACATCAAAACATTGAGAACGTGCGAGAAAATGGTTTTGATTGCTACCGACATGATAAGCAGCAAAGTAGGAAAACGCTGAAGGTTGCTTGGTAACCTACATCTATGCCTCCGGCTGCGGCGAGTCACAAATGAAAAATGTGTAAGAAGCTTATCCGTTCGTTACCATACCGAATTCTTCCATCTCAAAAGAATATTCGTAACTTGATTGCATATATCTGCCTTCTGCTTTCATATGATTATCTCCGCTTTCTGTTTCGAGTGTAAATTTCATTACTATATGAAAATCTTCTGTTGTTGATGACTGAAATCATGAGATTATTTCCCTCCTGCTTCGGCTTGGTATATTTGACCTATTTCATTATTTTACCGTAAGTAGTTTCGTACTGGTCAGACTGAATACGAACCACTCCGGATTGTTCTCTCTCGAACTGATAGACACACTTGCTACCAGTCACCGTGGTATTCTCCTTATGATGTCAAATTGTTCAAATTAGATAGTAAATTTCATCTATGGGACTTTTTACCCATCTCTCTTCACTTCACTCATATCTTTTCTCAATTTTTCTTAAGCTACTGATTAATCTTGATTTGAGTATTGTTCATCACTTTCTAAATATATGAGACTGTTCACTTGAGTCGCCCTATTTGCATGCAACGGTATAATAACTTTACCTTTGTTAAAATCACTTGGAACTGGCCTATATATCTCTCGTCATGCATCACTTGTATAGAATTTCTACAACCTAATTAAGGCTCAGGTAACACATTTGAGTGCAAATTTGGTTTCTTGTATTCTGCGAACTAACAATACCAGATTTCTGTGGCAACGTATTCGCCTTCTCTGTGGGAAGAACAGAAAACACTCGAATACTCCGGTGGACGTCAAAAACCTCAAACTCTCCTTCATCCACCGGTCAGATGAGAGTTAGATTGTTTCCTTTCTGCTTACCAATACCTCTCTGATTCCATTCTCCAATGATGATTTCAGTAATCTTCTCTGATCCTCCAAACCATCCTTGGGTGCAGGTCCTGATCCTCATCCTCCAGTGATTCTCAGTTTTGGAGCAGCTTCCCTAGCCAATATAATGGCATGTCTCCTTAATGAGTCAGTCTTCCTGGGTTTTTTTTCAATGATTTTGTTCTCTCGGACCGATTTTCTGAAGTTAACTTGGAAAGGCATTTGAGTCGCTTATCGTCTCTTACCAAAATTCCCCATGAGTCCTCTAGTTTGAATATAAACTCCACACATCTACACTGAGCAATGTGTCCACTTTAATCCATTTTATCAACAAGTCATTGAACAATTCAACCGAAGTTTTCGTTGCATGTTTTGCTAACTATTCTCCTACATCTGATTCCGTATCTCCTTCATTCCTCCTTTTCGAACTCAAATATTTTGATACTTCTAGGTGGAGCTCTCACGGCTTACTGACTATTTCACAGCAATAGTCAAAGCACCAGGTTCGACCGAAGTACAGCGAAACCCTGAGTTTATGATTCAGTATCTCTGTTCTGCTTTCTTTAGTGATCTTTTGGTCCCACCACCTGTTTAAATGCAGAACTATGTTGACGATGTCATTTTTTGTCGGACAATTTTCTCTTCCTCAGAACTGAATTTATCTACCGCATATCGGTAGCATCATTGCATTGATTTTAGCCACCTGGGGAAGGAAACCTGCAAATTTTCAGTCCCGATGTACTAAATATTGGCCTGGATTTTATTTTTTTTATTAATCTCACCATCGTTGTAAGATGCATCGGCAGCTCTATTGAGGTTCCATCTCGTGTAATGTGAAATACCTACGACCGTAACTAGATAACCAATCCTTCTGTTCAACTGTTAATGGTGTTTATGCAGTAAACTATATCAGGACGATATAATCTGCATACTGGCACTTGAATATCCTTCTGCCGGTACACAATCAGTTGAATATCACCATAGGCTCGTGTGTAGTTAGGTTTCCAAATTCACGGTGAGTATGACCGTGAACTGCACTATTCGTTGAGCTCCGACTTGGAGATAATTTCAAAAGATCATTTCGGATAGCACAAACGATTGGGCTGTGCTATGCATTCCGTGATTTTCAATAATGAGTGGATAATCTGCGCTCAATGAAACTGCTTATGATTACTAAGTTGGAAAATTTCCCGTCCCAGTAAAAATAGAAAACTCATTGCATAGCATAACGTAACTATCGATACATGAATTCCTTTCATACGTGTGCGAATACAGATAAATGCAGTCATTCACAAAGCTTTCACCTGGTTCCATCACTATTCTTTCCGACAGTGAACAGGCGAAGGGGCAGTCGTTGCACTGCGCATGAGAGAACACCCGCATCCACACATGTCTACAGCATAAAGAGTTTGCCAGTATCGTGAAATGTGTTTGTGTGTGTGTGCGCGCGCACAAAGCGCAAACACAAAGCGACCAAATACCGCTGCGATCGTGAACTCGGGGGCGGGTACGCCTGTTTATTCGCAAAATAGACAGTTCAGTGGTGTATGTTGCAAGTTGGATGCTGAAAAAGAAATAGGGTACAGGGAAGGACAATGGCAATCCTGGGGAGAAATCGTCAGACGAGATAGAATAGGGATCGATCCTGGACCACGTACTACGGATTACTTGTGAAATACGAGGGTTGAAGTTGGACTGTGAAACAACGATAGGGGTATTTGTAGATTCATCTTTACTTTCGATGGCTTCGGAATGTGTCTTGGTATTCCAGATTTCCCTCGATCGTTGTCGTAATGCGATCTTGAAGTGTGGTTTGTGTGTGTGGTGGCTTGNCTTGATCAAACTGAATGCCTACAATGCAAGACTTGTTTTGGTTCCCGTGTCTCTTCTCAGCCATACAGGCTTATTTATATCAGTGTAAATAATCGAGACTGGACAAAGGGAGGTGCAGAGATGATTGCTGGGATCTGTACACCGGGGACGGAGGGTTGGAGTGATTAATCGGAGCTTGGTGGATGCTGTGGTTAGATGGCCAATTTGGCAGACTATAAACGCACAAATGCAAAAAACGCATAACGGACCATCTTCCTGAGAGTGGATAAACTATCCCTCTGTTGTTCAATCACAAGCATACAAACAGGGACACCTTGGTAAGCGCACAGCATGTCGTATATCGGCACCAGAGTGTTCATAATTTCCTAGCCCCGTCGATCACGCTTCCTCTGTGAGCGCCTGTTGCTGTTGTTGCTGCTTTTGTTGTTGTTGTTGATGGTGCTGCTGCTGCTGCAGTGTTTTGGATAGTTGCGGTGAGGTACCTGACGGGACGACCGACACTGAACGTAATGCAGACAGTTCCAAAGGCCCCGGGGGGTCTCGTACCGTGGCAAATTGTAAATCCTGGTAGGCCGGATCGATTTCTGCGAATTTCACACGAGGCATCAGCATGTGTGTTTCCACACGTGCGGGTGCTGGGAACGGTATAAATGCGGATCGCGGTTAATAATTTTTGATAAAAGAACAAACGTAATAAAATGTAAAATGTCTGCACGCATGGAAATCGCTAACGAATGAAAAAATCCTTTTTTCCTTCAGTGATCTTCGGTATTTCGATCAAAACCGATGCCATTCAGAACTAACTAATACCATGCATTGTACACTATGTAGTCACAATGTAGATACACATTTGTGGGATTTTGTACGGACTATTTCCGACCTCTATTTACGCAGCCGAAATCTATTCTCTTGGCCATACTCAGAATGAGAACCAAATCATTTTTCTGATGATGAACATTACGCGGGTTGTGACACGTATCACGTATGCAGGTATTCATTGAACTCACACGCTATCACAATTTATAGTCAACTTCTGAATGCTCAGCGTTTAATGACCCAGGGGGAGAGTATGATTACCGCAAACCCACCACAAGTAGTGTTATTTTAATCCCAGGCTACTCAAGTTCTACGGAGCTTCTGTCCGAAAGACTTAGGAACCCTCAATTCCATCGTCTAATGATGACGGAGTAAATGAAAATAAATATGAAAATAAATAAAACATGAATATAAATAATTAAAAGCTTTCAACGTAGGTGAACAGAAAGCATGAAGTAGGATTATTAGTTGCTTCCTTTTATTGTTAGCGCTTCACTTAGTAATTGTAATGTGGACTTCACCAACTTGGTGCTTAAGTAATCTTTGTCGCCACTTTCATGTTATCTCACCTCTGGTTGTCTGCAGAGCGAAAAATCAGTTAGCATTTTAGTTCGAATCTCAACAAGTGTGCAAAAAGTGTGTGAAAACAAATGTATGTGTTCCAATGTGAGGAAATAACAAATAACTGGGTCCAAGTCGCTTTGAAAACAGATTTTGGGAGTCATGAAACAATGAATCATTTTGAATATGTACGCCGTTTCACCGAAAATTCCGAAATGGTTTTCTGACAAGTAACTCTCGAACTATTGTATTTGCTGTGTATAGGAAATCCTCTATGCAGTCCGCAGTGATTTGACTTAAGATCATTGAAATAGACCGATATTTATTTGTAATAACCATTGAGACGGCTACTTATTACCTATGGAAATTATGAGCTGCATCCTATACAGCGCTGCAAGTAATCCTAAAGATCCGTAGTGACCAGAATAAACATCCCCATCAACTAAAAGCGATCTGAAAAAAATTATCACACTTCAATCTTGTTTCACCTCATTAACATTCTATTTTTGAAGTTTAACTTTGGAACCCCATGTTCATTCTCGCATCCAAATATCTGCCGTTTAAATCGATGAAAAAAACATAACTTATCCGTTGGAAGGAGGTAAGGTTAAAAATGAAAGCTTTTTTCGCATCTGCGTCGAAGCGCACTCGTAGAATTCCCAACCACAATCTGTCCGCGAGGAAGTATTTGTGTCCCAAGAGTTTGATCAGTATCTGTATATGCCAATAAATTACCGATTTAGTCGTTGTGGACACTCCTGAGACACGCACATCCGGTCGACTTCTTTCAGGTCATCCACGGATACGTATCCCCGATGTGTGTTTTCTCCTGAGTGTTTCTCCGAGAGCATTTACTGGAAATGTTCATTGTTAAATAATTGCTAGGATTCTACATCCTGGTTGTGGTCAAGATGCGAATAATGGCACCATCTAGGCTTGCATTCTTTGTTCTCGATACTTAACGATAAGCAGTAAATGATTGAAGTCTTTACAAAAGAGATTTCTTATTCTCGGTTTGTAAGATGTCAATTACAACTACAGTGAAAATGGTATTAAGCTTTTCTTCTCATTCTTATCGACTGAGTATACCGTCAACTTTAATCTCTTTTGTCGAAAATAAATGAATTGCTATTATCACCGTTCTCGCGACCGAGTGAGTTCTTACTTCTATTCACTGAGGGCAGTTCAAGTCTAATAGGCCTACAGCACAATCTTATAGAAACCGATAGGGGTCTCATCTAAGGTTGTCAAAGCACTAAAGTATATATAATGATGGTAATAACAACCGTTTTATATCGTTTTTATTTATTTAAATGAATATTGTCTTAGTCGATTTTAAGGAAGGGGCTGTGACCAACGAACCCCTACCTGGAGAAATACAGAAATGGGGAAAAGTAACAGGCGGTCACCGATGTGGAACTCCAGATCTCCGGGTGGCTGAAACAGTAACCTGGACCACCGGCCCAATGCCGCTTAATGCTATCTGGAGTGCTGTCAAAGGACTCGCTAAAGGTTGTGAAACCTGAGTCCATGTCAGACGAGTATTCATCTCTACTGCATGAGATAGAATCAAGCTTAACATAACCCCTGTTTAAATAAGTGTGTATTGTGTTCTTTTGTGCATTGTAATGGTTACTTTTAGTTTGACCTACTTACCTACCTACCACGAGTGTTTCTGCTTTGGTAGGCAATCATAGATGAAGTTAAAGAAAACAGTTTCCTTTTTTAGCACCTGAGTTTCGGTGACATGGGGTGACAGAGCTTGTTGGCCCTCCTGGTAGACCTCACTAGGACACAATTTCCTGCCAAGAATGGATCAGCTGCTCAGTGCTTCCAAGACATTTCAATGTTGAACAACCCTTGGAATCTATTTGACGAATGCACCGTGATAAACAACTCTCTGTGTAATTATTTTATTTATGCAATACGTAACCAGTTACAGAGGCCTAACAAATGTGCCACAGCATATGAACAGAAAGAAATTTGAAGAATGTGTTCATGGGTTGTATGGACATGTTACTTCCCGGTTGCTTGGCCGAGGAAGGAGGATAGCCTCGGGATCCCCACTCGAAGCCTTTGGATAGAAAACTAATCCTGCAAGACAACAGGACGGAGATCAGAGTCCGCAGTCCATTGGGGGCCGGTGTCCAGTTCACTAGATCATACACCCTTTGGACGGGGTCAAACGTCCAAGGTGCCCAATACACCTCTATGCCCAATTGAGCCGGTAACCAATGCCGCGACTAGGAAGGTGTGCATGTGGTTCTTACGCCTACTTGTGATTGGTTTGGAATCAGGGATTGAACCAACTCCCCTAGGTGAACTGCCAATGGTTCACCAACCTGGTTAGAGCCCCGGATGTTGATTTTTCGTCCTCTCACTTTGGTGAGAAAACACCTCCGCCACGAGAAGGCAGTGAGTAGGGCTTCCTCAGCAGAGGCTATTTGAGACGCTTAGTCAGATTGGAACATTTCATGAGGTGAAAG